TGAAAATAGAGAGGAGGCCTAATGTTTCAGGGTTGTAGAATCCCCTTTCCCTCCTGTCTTTGCCTATATAATACACTCTGCTTCTAAAGATCTCTCTTCCAAAATTGTAATTTTCATGATCCGTTGGCTATGGTTTGCATAGGTTGTGTAATGATTTAAAACTCAGTTGTGGAATCTTGTCCTGGTCCATCATGGAGAGATGGGCTTCACGCAGGAGTCACTTTTCTGCTTGGAGGAACTCATTTATAATAGGTTTCATAGATAATAAAAAGCAACCTGTCAGTAGTCTTCCCATGGTCATCTCCAGGACTTTTCCAGAGCTTCCCCCATCCTCTGGAACTCTCTACCCCAATTTATCAGACTATCGCCTACTCTGCTCACTTTTAGGCGATCTCTGAAAACCTATCTCTTCAGGGAAGCCTATCCTGCCCTCAGCTAATAATGGAATCTTCTACTCTTCCAACCAGTCCATCCCCCACATTTACTACCTTTTGTACCACTAGCCCCTCCCTCCTAGATTGTAAGCTCCCAGGATCAGGGCCCTCCTATCCCTCTTGTATTGAATTGTATTGTTGCTGTATTGTCTCCCTTTATATTGTAAAGCGCTGAGCAAACTGTTGGCGCTATATAAATCCTGTAGAATAATAATAGTCTTTCCATTAAAAAATACTATATATTGTGTTCCATTTATATAAATAGAAAAGGTATAAAGATGTGTAGTTTAAGTGGTGTATTTAGGAAAAATACATTCAAATTTATTTTAAAAAAATGGGGTGGGGGGGGGAACTCGGCCATAGTATTTCAATTAAAAAAATACTATTTATTGTTTTTCCATAAATTAGATAAAAATTTATATAGATGGGTAGCTTAAGTGCTGAATTTAAAACAATTAAGTTAACATTTATTAACCATTAGCCGCCCGGCCTATGGCCGAATGGCGGCCTGCAAAATCCCTTAGCGTTCCGGGTGGATGCCATTTGGCGTACTCCCGGGCATGCGCAGTTTGCGCGCCTGCAGAGCTGCGCAGTGGCGCGATCTGTCACCGGCCGTGTACCTTGGACACGGCTGATGACAGATCTGACTACTGGCCCCGTTGCCGATACCATGTGACCTGCTGTGACCAATCACAGCAGGTCACATGACAGTTGTATACAATGGATGGCTTCATTCATGCCATCCATTGTATACTAGTGTCTAGCTGTGAATGGTCACAGCTAATCACATGCACATGTCATGTGATTAGCTGTGGCCAAATCACAGCTAAGCACAAGAAAAAAAAACCCTGAATGAATTGATGTCATTCAGGTAAATGCTTGCTTATAGCAAAGTAATTCTTTGCTATAAGCAAATTGTGTAAAAAAAAAAAAAAAAAAAAAACTGATCACTTCCCCAAGGTAGTACAATGTTACTATGGTAACATTGTACGACTTTGGTCATAGTGAAATATGAAAAAAAAAATCGTAAAAAAGAGAAAAAAAATGTAATAAAAAATTTTAAAAATTTTAAAAAAATTAAAAAAAATTATATATATATTTTTTTTTCATACTGTCACCAGTCAGTGTCCCTGATCACCGCCATGCCAGTTATATGATAACGCTGTACTGCACTGGTGACAATATGTAAAAACAAAATAGTGAAACTAATTTTTTTTATTTTATCATTTTCCGAAAAATTATGACAAAAAAAATACAACTTCAAAAAATTCGCCATGCCTCTTATGAAGTACATCGGACTGTCTACTTTGCAAAAAGGGGTCATTTGGGGGATATCTGTACTGTTCTGACATTTGGGGGATATCTGACTTTGGGGGGGATATCTGTACTGTCCTGACATTTGGGGGATATCTGTACTGTTCTGACATTCTTGGACCTCAAGATATTAGATTGGCTGTCAGTACTTCAGGATTGATCAATATTCAGATCTATACCATAGTTTGTGAACTCTATAACTTTCCTACAAACTAAAAAATACATCCTAATTTGGGTTATTTTCACCAAAGACATGTAGCAGAATACATCTCGGCCTAAATTTATGAAGAACAATTATTTATTTGCAAACTTTTATAACAGAAACAAAAAAAAAACGTGTGTTTTTTTTCAAAATTTTTGTTTTTTTTTTGTTAATTTAGCAAAAAATAAAAACCCCAGCGGCGATTAAATACCACCAAAAGAAAGCTCTAGTTGTGTGAAGAAAATGATAACATTTTAGTTTGGGTACAATGTTGTATGACCGCGCAATTGTCATTCAAAGTGTGAGAGCGCTGAAACCTGAAAACTGGCCTGGGCAGGAAGGTGTAAAATTGCCCGGTATTGAATTGGTTAAGTGGTGTATTTAGGAAAAATACATTCAAATTTATTTTAAAAAAATGGGGGGGGGGGATTCAGCCATAGTATTTCAATTAAAAAAATACTATATATTGTTTTTCCATAAATTAGATAAAAATGTATATAGATGGGTAGCTTAAGTGCTGAATTTAAAACAATTAAGTTAACATTTATTAACCATTAGCCGCCCGGCCTATGGCCGAATGGCGGCCTGCAAAATCCCTTAGCGTTCCGGGTGGATGCCATTTGGTGTACTCCCGGGCATGCGCAGTTTGCGCGCCTGCAGAGCTGTTCAGCAGCACAATCTGTCACCGCGGACACCACCGATGACAGATCTGAGTACCGGCCCCATTGCCGATACCATGTGACTTGCTGTGACCAATCACAGCAGGTCACATGACAGTTGTATACAATGGATGGCTTCATTCATGCCATCCATTGTATACTAGTGTGTGTAGCTGTGATTGGTCACAGCGATCACATGCACAAGCTGGGCTAATCACAGCCCAGCTGTGTCATGTGATTAGCTATGGCCAAATCACAACTAAGCACAAAAAAAAAAACCCTGAATGAATCGATGTCATTCAGGTAAATGCTTGCTTATAGCAAAGTAATTCTTTGCTATAAGCAAATTGTGTAAAAAAAAAAAAAAATACTGATCACTTCCCCAAAGTAGTACAATGTTACTATGGTTTTTTAGAATAAAGATACCCCTTTAGTGTGGCACAAAATCATTTTTTCTCAAATGTATTATGTATATTTTCTTGATGTATTGTATATAGATGGGTAGTTTAAGTGCTGACTTTGCAAAAAATTAAGTTATCATTTGTTAAGAATAAAAAAGTACCCATTCGATTAGTCTATATACTAATAAATAAAAATTTGCAAAGATTCATCCTGTGAAACTGCATGTACATTTTAGAACAGGGGGAAAATCAAATATTATTAAGCTATTTTCTCTTCAGGTTGAATGTAATTCATTCATAAAGAATAGAGTGAATCAGGCAAATATCACATTTTGGCAAATAAATATTTATTTCCTATGATCACCAGCTACATCTAGTGGTGATAATGCAACATTTTCCCAATTCACTATATTTTTTATGAATGAATAACTTTCAACCTGGAGAGAAAATAGCCTTGTAACATTTTTTTTTTCACACACAACAAATGTACATGCAGTTTTGAAGGGTTTTTTAACCACTTGCCGACCGCAGATAGCCGAATGATGGCTACACTGCGGCCGGCCAGTTCTGGGAGGGCGTCATATGACGTCCTCCCAGAACACGCTCCGGGGGGCACGCACCCAGCGATCTCCGTGATCGCTGTGTCCCACGGACACAGCTGATCATGTGATGTGGTAAAAGGCCAATCACAGCGGCCTTTTACCACATGATTAGCCGTGTCCAAGGACACGCTGATCACCGGGAAATTTAATTGCCGGTTCTCGGCTGCACTTTCCTCACACTGTCAGAGCATGAGGAAAGTACTGTCGAGAACCGGCAGTTGTCAGAACAGGGATTGGCACTGATCATCAGGGCACTGATGATCAGTGCCCTGATGATCAGTGCCACCCACCAGTTCCACCCACCTGTGCCCAGCGGTGCGCCCACCTGTGCCCAGCAGTGCACCCACCTGTGCCTAGCAGTGCGCCCACCTGTGCCCAGCAGTGCACCCACCTGTGCCACCCAGCAGTGCCACACACCTGTGCTCAGAAGTGCCACCTACCTGTTCCCAGCAGTGCCACCCACCTGTGCCCACCCACATGTGCCCACCAGTGCCACCCACCTGTGCCCACTAGTGCCACCCACCAGTGCCCATCAGTGCAGCCCAGCAGTGCTGCCAGTCAGTGCCACCAGTCAGTGCCCAGTGGCTGTGCCAGTCAGTGCCCAGCAGTTGCACCAGAAAATGCCTAGCAGTGCCGCCAGTCAGTGCCCAGCAGTGATGCCAGTCAGTGCCACCTATCAGTGCTGTCTATCAGCGCCACCTATCAGTGCCGCCTATCCGTGCCACCTCATTAGTGCTGCCTATCAGTGCCGCCTATCAGTGCCGCCTATCAGTGCCCATCAGTGCTGCCTATCAGTGTCCATCAGTGCCGCCTATTAGTGCCCATCAGTGCTGCCTCATCAACGCACATCAGTGAAGGAGAAAAATTACCTGTTTGAAAAATTTTATAATAGAAACAAAGAAACTTTTTTTTTTCAAATTTTATGCACTTTTTTTTGTTTATAAGGCAAAAAGTAAAGTGCCCAGTGGCGATTAAATACCACCAAAAGAAAGCTCTATTTGTGAGAAAAAAATGATAACAATTTCATATGGCTACAGTGTTGCATGACCGCGCAATTGTCAATCAAATGGCGACAGCACTGAAAGCTGAAAATTGGCCTGGTAAAGAAGGGGGTATAACTGCCCGGTAGGCAAGGGGTAAATATAAAGATACCCCTTTAGTGTGGCACAAAAATATTTTTTCTCAAATGTATTATGTATATTTTCTTGATGGTTTTGTTAGTGACCACTAATTTTGCACAGTATGTAAGTTCCAGGAATGCCATTAGACGCACACAGGATGTGTGATTCTGTTAATAGCATCAGAGACACTGTCATAGCACACTTCTCTTTTCTGTGCCGATACCTGCAGACATCATGTATCTTCTGGCCGTCCTGCTGCTTCTATACCGGGATGTATCATCCACAGGTGAGAGCTTTATATTGGGGTTCAGGAGAGGGAGATTACTGCTATAAAAGCAAAGTTTGTATTTAACCACTTGAGCTCCGGAAGGTTTTACCCTCTTCATGACCAGTCAATTATTTGCTATTTACACTGTACTACTTTAGCTGGTAATTGTGTGGTCGTGCAACACTGTACCCAAGTACAATTTATATCATTTTCTCACACAAATAGAGTTTTCTTTTTGCGGTATTTGTTGGGTTTTTAGTTATATAAACAGACCAAAAAAAAAGAACATTTTGTAAAGAAAATAATATTGTTCTGCTATAAAACATGTCCAATTAAAAATTGTAAAAATCAAATTTCTTCATAAAATTAAAGCAAAATGTATTCTGCTACATGTCTTTGGTATAAAAAAAAAATCCCAATAAGTGTATATTGATAACTCTGTGTGAAAGTTATATTATCTACAAACTATGGTGTATATACTGGAATTTATTTTTTATATGCTTGTAATGGCGGTGATCAACGACTTATAGTGGGACTGTGATAGTGCGATGGGCAATCTGAAACTAACTGACACTGGCTGGGAGGTACACTAACTGACACCACCAGTGACATTAATACAGTGATCAGTAATAATACTATACACTGTCACTGTACTAATGACACTGGCTGGGACATCTAGGGCAATCAAAGGGCAATGAAAAGGTGTGCCTAACAATGTGTAATGTGTGCTGCTTTTGTACTAAATATCTGTTTGTTCCTTCTCCCTGCTTTGCAGGGAGAAGAAACAAACAGATTGTTCTCTCTGTACAGAGCCCTGTGTTGTTTATCAACAAAGGGTTCTTGGCTGTGATTGGACATAGCTGATCAGCTAACCACTGAACCACTGGCCAGGACTGCAGAGAAAATCCGCAGGTCCGCAGGGGGTGCACATGCACTAAACACGGAAGAAGGCAGCGACATACAGGTACAATGTGGGCAGACAATCATTCCTAAAGTGGTTGAAGTGTATGTAAAACCAAAAGTTTTATTCTTGGTTTTGGACAATTGTCCTGTCAAGGAGATTTCTCTTCACTATCTGTTCCAGAGACATAACAGGAACTAAGAGGAAATCTCTCCAAAGTGACCAGAAATCCTCCCTTAGACATTTGTCACCAAAACAAGTGTTCCCTTTAGATGATTTCCTCTTACTTCCTGTTCTGGTGACAACTCTAAAATATTGGATTTCGCACCACTTTCTGTACTGGGTTCTACAACTAGGTTCTACAATTTTCACTATCCATTCACAGGATGGGGAAGGCTGTTGATCCTGGCAGTAATGCACTGACCTCCTAATTTTGTGTTGTGGGCTGACAACACATTGCCTTTATGTGTACCAACATCAAAATAATTGGTGTCAGCCCTGCCCAGTTGCCTTTTGCTAAACTAGAGACCCCCCCCCACACTCCACACCATAGGGAAAGGTATTTTGTAGGCTCCTATAAGAACTGAGAGGGCTTATTTGACTGCTTGAGTGAACAATACACAAGTTGGCTCCATGTTTCTGGCAGGATCAACAGGTAATTTTTTTTTTGTTTGGAATATATGCAGCCCTGGAACAAGTAGGCACGCAAGGAAAGTCAGAAGTGATCATATATCATTTTTTTTTCCTGAGTAATTGAAAATATAGAAAAGGGTCAGCATGACAGCCAGGCAATTAGCATTTCCAGGCTGAGAATGACAATCTACATTTTTATCTCATATAAGGTCCCAGTCTTGTCTGTTCAAAATTCTTCATATGTATAGAAATATTAGACCAAAATCTGCATTGTAAATTCTACAGAGGCCTGGTGATAATACATAATACACGACTTTTGAGATCAATAAACAGTGCGCTAACAAAAAAAATGTATTCCAGATCTTCATGTTGTGGTGGGGAGACGAGGCGATTCTACAGTTCTGAAATGTGGAGGGGATTCTGTAGACCAAATAGCGGGAATTATATGGAAGATCCATCATATCAATAATTCTCGGTGTTTATTCTCATATGGTCCACACATAAAAGGAGGATCACAGATTTACCACAACTGCAGTACAAGAATGACACTAACCAATATAACACTGACCATCCAGGACACCCAGATATCTGATGGAGGATATTATACCTGTGAACTGTCAACTGGTAGAGGGACCTTCATCTATACAACTATTTTACAAGTATTAGGTGAGTAATATCTGATTTCACCATTGTGAGAAGGTCAGTTCAAACTTAGCACAATTCTTTCTCTCGTATATACTGTACACATATCACAAACCACAAAATATAATCATCTCAATAAGGTAGGTTTTGTTATAATGCAAAGCATTCTCTGAATGGATGAGGTGGAGAGGCAGGGTGCTGATGTCACATTCTCCACCTGGTCCAATCATGAAAATGCAAAACATGCTGTGAATGGCTCCAGTAGCAAGCAGGTGTCCTCCTGTGTTCACTTAGCAGCAGAGCAGCTGCTTGGCATCGGACCTGGAAGCTTCTGGAGATCACTGGAGTAGCGGTGCCTATTGCAGTGATATCCAGTCTCCAGGGGGGCATAGTTACATTGGTCCAAGCTGGACAAGTTTAACCTCTTGGCACCGACCGCATGCAAATGTGCGGCCTCACGGCATCTGGGACTTGACACCGAGCGGGCCGCACATTTGCGTGCAATTAAGAAAAACATATGTGCTGGGAGTGTGCGCCCTGCCTACTCCCAGCACATGCAGTTGTGTTCAAAATAATAGCAGTGTGTTGAAAAAAGTGAATAAAGCTCAAAATCCTTCTAATAGCTTTTATTTCCATCCACACAAATGCATTGGGAACACGACACATTCTATTCCAAATCAAAACATGAAGAAAAATAGATCAAATTTGTGTTCCTCTAAAAAAATGGAAGAAAAGTGAATATTAGACTGTTCAAAAAAATCGCAGTGTTTGTATTCTTCTTTACAAACTCAAACATTCACTATATAAACTGAAAAAAGTTTGAAGATTTTGCTTTCCTTTGAACTACTTCATGAATATTTGGTTGTAGTCGCACTGTTTCTGAGAACTGCTGTACATCTGTGTTGCATGGAGTCACCCAACTTCTGGCCCCTGTGATCAGGTATTCCAGCCCAGGATGATTGGACCACATTCCACAGTTCTTCTCCATTTCTTGGTTTTGCCTCAGAAACTGCATTTTTGATGTCACCCCACAAGTTTTCTATAGGATTAAGATCCGGGGATTGGGCTGGCCACTCCATAACGTCAATCTTGTTGGTCTGGAACCAAGATGTTGCACGTTTACTGGTGTGTTTGGGGTCGTTGTCTTTTTGGAACACCCATTTCAAGGGCATTTCCTCTTCAGCATAAGGCAGCATGACCTCTTCAAGTATTCTGATGTATTCAAACTGATCCATGATCCCTGGTATGCGATAAATAGGCCCAACACCGTAGTATGAGAAACATCCCCATATCATGATGCTTGCACCACCATGCTTCACTGTCTTCACAGTGTACTGTGGCTTGAATTCAGTGTTTGGGGGTCGTCTGGCAAACTCTCCGGCCACTAGACCCAAAAAGAACAATCTTACTTTCATCAGTCCACAAAATGTTGCGCCATTTCTCTTTAGGCCAGTCAATGTGCTCTTTGGCAAATTGTAACCTCTTCAGCACATGTCTTTTTTCCAACAGTGGGACTTTGCGGGGACTTCTTGCAGATAGCTTGGCTTCACAAAGGCGTCTTCTAATTGTAACAGTCCTCACAGGGAACTTTACACCTTCTTTCATCTTCCTGGAGCTGATTGTTGGCTGAGTCCTTGCCATTTTGGCTATTCTTCTATCCATTCGAATGGTAGTTTTTCACTTTCTTCCACGTCTTTCAGGTTTTGGTTGCCATTTTAAAGCATTTGCGATCATTTTAGCTGAGCAGACCGATCATTTTCTGCACTTCTTTAAATGTTTTCCTCTCTCCAATCAACTTTTTAATCAAGGTACGCTGTTTCTTCTGAACAATGTCTGGAACGACCCATTTTCCTCAGAATTTCAGAGAGAAATGCACTGTAACCAGCATGTGCAACATTTGCTGCCTTCCTTCCTTAAATAAGGGCAATAATTGCCACCTGTTTTTCAAAGAATGAATGACCTCACTAATAGAACTCCACACTGCTATTATTTTGAACATGCCCCTTTCAATGAGTGATTCAATGACACAGAATCAGCAGCATGTATGTCATGACTGTTGGGTCTGTTGGATTTCTATTACTCTACTACACCTGCTAGAAAATTATTTGCCATGTAGAAATATCATTTCTACCAAAAACAGTGATTGATCCGGTTAGTGATGTCTGACTGCTATTATTTTGAACACAACTGTATGTCCGGTACTCACGGAAAGGTCCCAATCTCCTCTTTCGATCGGGACCTTTCCTGATCATGTGACCGCTGTGACAGCAAATCACGGAGGTCACATGGCCCTAAAACCCCGCCCCGCCTCCCGGCTTCTGAAACCCTTAAAGGGCTGGAAGGTGCTGGCGCCAAGGGGTTAAGGTCAACTTTTAAGCTGTAGCTATTGAAGCACCTTCTTGTGTACATAGGTGGTAGTGTAGTTTGAGCTTTGCTAGAAACCTAGGTTTTAGTCGGTGGGTTCAATGTGAGGTCGGGCTGTAGAGCTGTACAGGTGAGATCTCTGGTACTCCTTCTGCTGTAGAAGCTTGGAGAAGTTTCTAGAAGCCAGTAGGTAGAGGCCAGGAGGTGTAGACCTGCATATTCATGGGTGTCTGACCAATCCAAGGCAGGAGGCCTGGCACTGTGGTAGACTAGCCAATAAATATGATAGAGCCTGGCTAGCAAGGGAGTCGGGTAGAAGATGGAGTGTTGAATTGCTGTTAGTGTGTAGCCTGGAAAGGGGCTTCGGAGAAGGGAGATCTACCTTCAGGCTGGAAGCTGGATGGAGAAATCTCCACTGCCGTGCAGTCCACCGGAAAAGGACAGCCTGTTAGCCAGGAAAGAAACCAGCCCAGCAGAAACCCTGAAAGCAGTTTCACCTACAAGCTACAGGATAAGGACAGTATGTCTACCTCTACACTCCCAGGGCCTACAAGAGAGAGGGCAGTCAGGTGCCACACCCAACTAGTCCTCCCTCGGACAGTACTATCAATGTGTCTTGCCTTGGGATACTCCTTAAAACAGCCAGGTGGATGGGCAGTTTCTAGCTGGGGTCTGAAGAGGTTCATCTAAGGGGACTGAGTGCTGAGTGTTGTGGCTCTGTAAAGAGACAGAGGCCACTCCAAAGGGAGTAAAAAGTCCAGGATCCATTTTTGCTTCTTGTACATAGGAAGTTTTGTCTTCCAGATTGTTTCAAGTTCAGTTGGGAACAGGGGCGCACTGACCATTTGTAAACTCGGGCACTGCCCGAGGGCCCGGGGTCAGTACGGGGCCCCATGAGATACCCCTGGTACCTTTTTCATAGGATTTTTTGAGTTTGGGCAAGGACACAGGGGCCCCATGATCCCCTATTGCCCGGGGGGCCCCATGAGTTGTCAGTCCGCCCCTGGTTGGGAATCCTATATACACCTAGACCCTAAGTTGGTCACCATAAATAAAAAACTACAAAACAAGCCCATGGACTGGTTACTGACTTTGAATGCAAGAGTGAAAAATTTGTGAAGTAAAGGGGGACCCAAAAACAGTGACTCTCAAGGGGTAGCACTACACTATATATAAAAAAACTATGCTTGGAAATCTTTAATATATCAGAAATCACTTCCTACTTCTAATATGCATATTTCACAGAATATGATAACCCATTGAGAGAAATATTTAGTAATATATGGTTTAGTAATTAGTTCTCTTTTATTCCTCTAGCTCAGCCCTCTGTGTCTCTGCATATAAACAGCGATGGATCTCTGGAGTGTAGAGCCATTGGTGGATTCCCGGCTGCAGAGATCTCCTGGATCCCACATTCAGATAATATAAACACAAGTGAAGTTAAAGATTCGGATGACACCTGGACAGTGATCAGCACATATAAGTCTGATGGAGGCAACGTGACGTGCCTTGTGTCTCATCCCACATTTGGGAATCTCTGGAGCCAGTCTATTATATCAGAAGGTAAAACTGGTGAATTCATGTTAAGAATGTTAGATTCCTCCAACCAACATAGACATCCAACCTTCTTACTTTACATTCAAAGGCCAAAGTGTTGTAGGATCCCAATCTATTGACCTCAAAGTTCATTCCCATTGCAGCACAATATGATACAGCTCTTTGTGAAAGTGGCAACTCTGCTGCGAATTCAGAAGTGCAACAGCGTTGCCACCCCATCGCAGGAAGCTGCATTAGGTAGACTCCACTGGCAGGATCGATAGATATTTGTGGGACTTTGAAGGGGACTAAAAGAAAAAACTGTAAGGGTAGAAGATCCTGGAAGTGTTAAGGGAAGTGTTGCAGTACATATTTATTTCACTGGGTGGCCTTGGTTCTACTTTAATTACCCCAAAGATAGGACATTCACTTACAGGTCGGCTATGTAAAAATGTCTTTTACCTAGTAGTAATTTCTAGTGATGAATAACAGGAAAGACCCTATTTTTTGATCAGCTGAAACCAATTTCTGATATGAATCGGCATTAAAGTGTATGTAAACCCAGGGTCAGATTTACATCTCAGGAGTCTATAGGCTGAGAATTCTGAAGCCCCCTCCCCCGAATTGGTGCCAGTTTATGCAATAATAATCCAGAGAATAGGCGTCAGTTTCGGCAATAATCCCCAGCATTGACGCCAGTTTCCTCAATAATAACCCCCTGCACTGGCATCAGTTTCCACAGTAACAACCCCCAGCATTGTGCAGGTTTACACAATATTAACCCCTATCCTGCAAAGGGGTCAAAGTGGTTTGTAAAGGATCAAGGTTTTTTTTACCTTCATGCATTCTCTTTGCATGAAGGTAAAAAAAAACCTTCAGTGTGCAGCATCCCCCCCCAGCCCCCCTAATACTCACCTAAGCCCCCTCTTGATCCAGTGATGTTCAATGGAGTCTTTGGCTTTCCCGGGACTCCCTCTTCTCATTGGACAAAACCAGGAGCCATTGGCTCAATAAAAGTAGTCTGCATGAACACATAGGATAACACTAATTAGCTTCTAGGAGCAGAAAAATGCTAATAACAGCTTCTAGGAACTTAAAATTATATTTCTCATATTTTTTTTTTTTTTTTTAATAACAAACAAGTTATACTTACCTGCTGTGTGTAGTGATTTTGTACAGAGCAGCCTGGATCCTCCTCTCCTCCCCCGCAGTCTCTCCTATGCCCCCACAGCAAGCAGCTTGCTATGGGGGCACCCACTGCTCTGCATGTACATTCACACATGGAGCTGCAACGTGGCACCACCGCCTCTCTCTCCTCATCGGCTGACTGGTTGTGATTGACAGCAGCGGAAGCCAATGGCTCCCACTGGCTATCTCAGCCAATGAGAAGGCAGAGACCCGGGACAGCCGAGGCTACACATTGATGGATCGCGATGGGACTCAGGTAAGTATTGCAGGGGCTGGGGGCACTGCTACACACATACGTTTTTTTTTACCTTCATGTACAGAAGCCTTTACAGCTGCTTTAAAAAAACGCCAGCATGCATGGAGCCTAAGTGTTCCTTTAAATAACATTTTTAGATCATTGACATAACCAGTCCAGACAAAAATGTAAATATGATAATAAATGTAATACATGATGATTGTAATCTTCACTGTGCCATTTTTCATTTGCCTTTAGGTGGTACTCAATATTTTTGGAGGATTATTGCCCTCATCATCTTCAGTTGTCTTGTGATAGGACTTTTTCTATACTGCAGATACAAGTCCAAGGTAATGTAGGAAGAGAAACTTAACCCAAAGTGGAACTCTGGAGGATATTTGTGATCCCACGGACCAAGTGAAGCAGAAATGACTAGTGGCCTCTCACCACTGCTGATGGTCTGGTGATGGACAATGTATGTAGCCTTCTTCCAGTATCTCTGAAGTCTTTGATGAAGCATCACTGGAACTGCAGACCAGGACACTTGAACAGCAGCTCCCTGGAACAACAGTTCAGTCTTTGGGTAACACCAGCAGCCTTGGCACACAGCACAACTCAGCCCACGTGGCCGTCTCGTGGAACTGTACCCCAGTGGCTCTTTCAGTACAATGTCTCATTTTATTCTTTCTGGGCTCAGCATAGGATCAGTCTGTTCTTAAGACAGTCCTCATCGCTGCTGATCCCTTTATTACATCTTTATTGCACCCCTTTATGCTGCTCCCTTTATTAGCCACCTGTCCCTGGACCCTTGGCACTTTAGCCCAGACAGTTCCCAACAGCTCTCCTCATCCCTGTGCTTGGCTCCTGCAACTTTGCTCTGTACAAGACATGACAATGGTCCAGACAACCCTACACTCATTTGCGCGGTGTCCTGTTCTGTCCATGGGTAGGGTGCCTTACTTAAGCAGCTCCTTGAAGCAGCTCCAAGTACAGTATATAAAATATAAAACCCACGAGCAGCTGAATAAACATAAAAAATGAATATAAAAATAGCTAAACCACCAAATCAAAAAATTCAAAAACAAAAAGCTGCCCACAAGTACACATCCTCATATAAAACTGCTACATAACAAAAACCACACAATAACAGTGCCATGCTTTTCTCATAACGTCATTAGAACCACTCAAACGTGACATTATTTGTAGGGAAATTATTTGATGTCACGTTTGAGTGGGTCCAAGGTCTAAATACAATAGCTGCTTGTATATGCAACAAAGCATAACCATTACAGAATATAACCAGTTGACTGTGACTAACGCTGACTATACCATGACCTCGATAATGAGAACCTTTCAATACATCGACATATAGTGTTGTAATAGAATGAAGAATTTAATAGTGTAATGTAAAGTTACATTTTTTTTAAACTTCTCTTTTTTGAGCTTTCAAGTAAGGTAGAAAATGCAAAACAGCTAACAATTAGAGCAGCAAACGTGACCAACGGCACTAAGTCGCTCAGAGTACCAGAACACATTGAAAAATAACAGTACAGGATTATAGGCCTGTCCATATCACTTCCATGATCACTTAGTATGATAGGGTGGTGGTGGGGTAGTGAACGGAGGAAAGAAAGGGGAGTAAGGCTTTGTCACCAAAGCGTTTTTAGTGCTTCTTGCAGAAACGCACTATAGTCCATTTAATATGGTTTCCTATGGAACATGTTCACATCGATACTTTTTTAAGCAGCTGTGTTTCTGGAAAGGGTCAGGGACTTTTTTGTAAAAGCAAAAATCAGCGTTATGCTACAATTATTATTATTACTATTATACAGGATTTATATAGCGCCAACAGTTTGTTCAGCACTTTACAATATAACGGGAGAAAATACAGCAACAATTACAGAGCAATACAAGAGGGTTAGGAAGGCTTACAATCTAAGATAGAGTTCAATGTAGAATCTGCTGAAATGCATGGTAGTGCGTTTTTGCCACGTTTCTCATTTATATTCTGCCAGCGAAAAAAAAAAAGAACCAAAGAAAATGCGGTAAAAAACACATAAAAAACGCATAAAAAATCTGTGTAGAAAAAACTGCAAAAAGCACTGCAAAATGGACAAAAAGCAAATTGCATAGGTGTGAGCAGAGCCTAAAGTTACATTTTTAATTATGGTCAATACATTGATATACAAACAAGATTAGAAAAAAAAAAGTAATAGTTTAGGAGGAGAGTATCACACTTCACAATTTAATGTTTTTGATGTACGCTGTTACTATTTGAATGGACTTTAGGCTCATTGAAGACCTTTTACTAGATTATGAAAAAGAAGGTTAAAGGCTAAGTCCACCTTCCAAAAAAAGCATCTATGCAGAAATAAAAATGCATTTATTGTGTTTTTGCATCACAACATGCAAAGGATTGCATTCACGATCAGTGGATCTTGGGTACAATGCCAGGCTCCTGCAGACGTCCTCCAGCTCCATGTTTGTACCAAGGAATGGACTTTCTGTTGGAAAGCCGGAGTAGGTGCCAGTGGACTATTTCCCTGAGAACTACAAGTCCATTTGCCCCGGATTTGTAGTACATTTTACTCACATATCTCTGAGAAAGAATGATGCGGCTGGAGGGGATAAGAACCCGCACGCTGTCATAGAGGGGGTCTTATGGGGAGTGGAGGTTTGCTTGGCACCATGTTACAAGTCGGTTATGCCACCTCACTTATTCGCTTGATGATAAATATAATAAGTGATTACAACCTTTTGTCTTTATATGAATTTAGCCAATCGGGAAGCGGCTATTACCAATAAATTTAATACCAAATGATAACAACTGTGCTAAAAAATAAAGATCTAATTTATTTACCCAGAAAAGAAGCTTGCTATTAACCAAATTTATGAAAATATAAAGTAGCTGGTATAACTTTAAAAGTTGTGATATTACAATGTAAATACAGAATGGTACCAATTGCATAGAGGCAACTACAGCAGAGAAAGTTACAGAGAAAAAGAACAAAGGATAATGATGATACGATACGCACACATCCTGATGTCTGATCTTTGATGCCTGGGCTCAAAGAGAGAGAGCGAGAGCAGAAAGAGAGTCGCGTCTTGCTTTTATACCCCCTCTCTGCCCCCCTCCCTCCAGGTAAAGTCATACTCTTCGGTAGAGTCCAGTAATCTTAAGACTTTGCCCTTTCTGTTCAATCCGGCGCTGTGACTGTGAAAGATATGGGTCAGCTGTAGGTCATCAGCTGGAATTTATGATAAGCCTAGAAGGTGTTAAAAATGACAAGTCCAGGCCCTACTTTGGGGTTGCCACCACATCCCTTTAAAACCCGAACACATATTATTTACAGAGATTCTGTGGCTGATTTAGGTGGTAATTAAACTCACTTAGGTGTCCGTTTATGACAC